AGCGAGCTCTCCGACCACTTCGGTGATCTCTTCGACCACCTCGCCGACCTCTCCGACCACCTCGGCAATCTCTCCGACCACCTCACCAGCTGATACACCACTCCAAGTCCCTACATGCCACGTAAACCAGTCACAGTGTGACACGTGTCAGCCCAGAATTAATCAGCTTTTATTACTTCCAGAAATGGATTTAACCTTCGGAAATTCATAACTAATTCATACGACCTCAGAAAAATATGAAACCAGGACCAAAATTTATCTAAAATCGAGCTCTACGCAATGAACCAATGTTTGAGTGCATTTGACTCTTTTGAATTTTCATTGCTTCTTTGTGCTATTCTATAGACGTCGCTAACGCGACTATAATTCGATCGTATGCAGACTCGGAGGAGAACCAGACGGACGAGGATCGTGAGTACCGTGAGGAGTGCAGGGACGACTACACTGAAGGTGCCACATTCCACCCAATCTCGTAGCACCTATTACGCATGGCTAATATAGAACTGCTATTGCTTTACTTTATTGTTATATTCACACTATGATTGGACTTGCATGGTAGTATGCTTACTTGATGGCCTTTACCTTGACGCAACCTTACCCTGCTTACCCTGCTAATAGGCTAGACACACACTTGCTGCTATATTCTATTTCTTATTACTTCTACTACGCTTGTACTACATTGATGCGTGGTGGAAACTGGTGTTATCTGGACTATGGGGAGAGTGCTGCGTGTGTGACTTGGGTGCATGGAGGGTGAGGGTTGTGTTGACCAAGTTGGAATATACGACGAGCCTGGGGCAAGTCTTACCGCGGGGTGCTACCTAGGCACCCCTAGAAATGGATACCTGTGGTGGGTAAATGGTATATGAGGTGGCCCTAGGTGTGAACCTGTGATGGGAGGAGCCCGGGGTGGAGGTGCTGTGGTGGCACGATAAATGGAAACCCTGATGAAGACATTCTGGTCTGGTCATCCCTAAGGACTTACTAGTACTCAGATTCACCGAGAAGTCTTACGTACCACTCACCCTATATGGTGCGGGACGACCGGACTACTTGGTAGGATATTGCCACTACTGCTAGGTTGACGGCGGACAGTGCGAGGGAGGTACGGGGCGCGGAGGATTCCCCCCACACCATTCCGAGACTTCATGGAGACCTTGTGGGCCCAGCTCATGACTCACAGTTTCAGCCACCCCAGACTAGACTTGGGGTGTACTAGGGCTGAATGGTAGAGTGGCATTATCCTAGGCTAGCAAGCGGCCAGAATCAGCCCAGTTGATGACGGTCAGCGAGGAAGACGGATCTTGTGGTTATGTAAAACCTCTGCAGAGTGTATGGTTGATCGATCGATACATATGCCAACTTATTGGCTATGGACCTTTCCTGGGTTTCGCTTAAACTAGATAGTGAGATGAGTCATTCTCTTCTTCCCCCGTGAGAGAGTGTCAGACGTAGCCAGGGGCTACGGGCCATGAGACAGTGCCGAGAGGAAGTTGGCCTATCGACTGAGCGATGGTATAGTGATGGTGTGGAGATGGTGGTATATCAATCCCAAGATCGAAACCTGGTTCTGGATAGAAATAGGGTGGAATGGGTGTGGGAATGGTGTTAAAACTTGACCAACTATTATTATATACTTGATATGCTAATACATAGGAAACCCCAGCCTTATACGTTCCTTTTGATTATATCCAACTTGCATCTAATTTTCACAAAGCAATGCTCATAGGGTGGGAGTGGCCAGTACAAATCGTACTGATAAATTTTGGCACACAGGTTCCGCTGAGGAGTATAGCTCTGAGGAGTTTGACGGTTGAGGGGTTCGTTCCTACGCTTGAATTTGGCGATCTTATCTTTAAGCTGTTCTGAATGAACGCTACTTTTGATTCCGCCAATGCGGCGATATAATAACTTATGTAATTCCGCACTATTTATACTCTGATATTATCGTTGTATGGATGTGGTATTCGACTAGAATTTGGGTATTATGATCTACAACGGTCATAATACACTTCGACTCTGGATTTCCCTTCGTGGAAATCAGGTCGTTTCACTGGGGCTCGCTAAACTGCTCTCCTGGGCCGGCCTCCACGCGTTGCTGGCGCTCCTGGTCGGCGTGACAGTGCGTGGCATTTTCTTTTTAATTTCTTCTTTTTTGTTAATTAAATCTTCATTTAGAAAACAAATTGTCAAGTATACGAACAATTATATACATACAAGCAGAGATATACAAATATCTATATGTATATGCATATATATATACACAAATACATTTGGCACGAATTGAGTTTGCACACTAAAAAACAAGATATGTGTGTATATATAAATATATTTTTATTTATTTATTATTCTAATACCCAACTCAGCCACACATATATATTATAACATTTATTTATTGTTACTCATATACCGTACAGGTGTATACTTGTATCTACTATTGAAATAATTAACAATAAATAATATTTATAAATTTTATATACATCTTGATTTCTTTGACCTGTCAGTTACTAGAATGATAAATGATTATGGACATGATTAACGACATTGATCAACACATACGGTGTTACTAGACCCATTTGGGTAGTTGGACCCGCATGCCACCTTGAACAACCATGTTAATAAAATCAATAAAATAATTTGTGGCACACCATCCTTGCAAATTACTCTTTATGACATGGCAAATATTGTCATAATATACAATTGGACTAGCATTAAGACATTTTTTGTGACATGCATTTACTTATGTCACTAAGTTCGGATGCCTCTAGAAAAATCGTCATAAACTAGTTGATTTAGAGACTTTTTGACCTATTGTCATGCCATAAACGTCATAAACCGACACATTTCTTGTAGTGGGTCCTGATTCATCTGTCACAGATAGACCACGAAAGATTGCTTTACAACTGGTCCACCTCTCAAGGAAATGAATCAGTTGAGAAAGCTGGAGATGACATTTGGGACAAACACCACCTTGAAACTGATCATGGCCAAGATAATTCTCTGGACCAAGAGGTTCCTCAGGCTGCTGAACGAACCTCTGATAAATCAAATAAATCAAGTGGGATAGAGAGTGCACGCGAAATCTGATCTTGCTCTGGAAGATTGTGCAGAGTTTGACATCCAGTGGGAAGAAATTGCTATTGGTGAACGGATTGGCCTTGGTAAAGTTGATTTATTATTTGATTATTTATGAAAATGATTTCCTAATCATACTACTATTTCATTGACTGTGGGAAATGATTTCTTTGATCCTTTTTCCTTAAAAACATATTTCATATTTTTAAATTCAATTCAACCTGTTATGTTCCAGGATCGTTAATTTGGAGAAGTTTATAGAGGAGAATGGCATGGAACAGTAAGTTTTTCAGTCAACAAATTCCTTGCTTATTTTTTGAGTCAGCAACTTCTAAATGTGCTATGGAAAAAATTATTGAAGTAAAACCAACCCTTTTGGTATACTGATCTTTTTTTTTGTGAACATTTTGGTATACTGATCTAATGATGTGAAGAAATGTTAATTTGGATAATATCACAACATTATCTGTGCCAACACTGAAATACAATACCTCTTTACTTGCCAATCTTACAGACATCTAGTAATGAGAAAAACAAGTTAATAAAAGGGAATGAGCCAATGAAATACTTCATCTTCTTGGTGGATTTTCTCCATTTATACCATGAAAACGGTTAATCTTGTAACGAAAAGGAGAATATTTTATTTGTAGACTTGAACTGCACCTACATTTTCTGTCTGCTGCTTTATGTTTTCCCGACAACTTTAGGTGACTTCATATATCTTAGTGACAGGCATTAGCATCATTTGGACTAACAGGTTTTAGAACATTTTTGGCGTCAGTAGTTCTTATTTTTGAAAAAAAAAACAATGATCCTGTTAGAGTATGGCAGGGGCCTATTGGGCCTGGGCTAGATGTCGCCCATTAGTGTTAGGGTTAATTAGAGATAAGGAATTGACTTGCTTGGGAGTCAAGTAAACCTCTCTATATATAAGGAGAGGAGATATATCAATCTAATCAGGCAAGAATTAAGAAGGAAATCATTTCCTCTTGCCCGACCGTGGGCACACGCCCTGCGGCCGGCTCTCTCTCACCTCGCAGCCCTAGCCGTGAACAGTACCCGCGGTACTGTAGCACATCAGCCGCCGTCGCTCCCCTCGACTCTCTCCTCTCAATCCTAGCAGCCACATAACAGATCCATCCATTGTTGCATTATGTTTTATGAAGTTCTAGCTATTCCATTTGTTATTGTCACTGTATTTCTTTTCTTTTGCTTTGTTCACTGCTACCAAGTTGTTTACAGCACCACAAATTTGTTTGTCTATAGGAAGTTGCACTCAAGAAGTTCTTGCGACAGGATATTTCGAGTGATGCTCTGGAAGAGTTTAGAACTGAGGTATACTCCTCTCTCTATATGCCAAGCCATCCACTGACATAAATGGACTGAAATAAAGAAATTTGGCTTTGTTAATCGTGCATTCTTTGTATTTTCCTGCGACACTTGAAAATTACTGTAAATTTTGTTAGAAAAGTTATTGCTGCATTTTTTTTTCTTGAACACACAGGATAACTTTGGCTTGTAGCTGATAGATAAGCGGTATGAAATACACAATAGGTGGTTTGAAATACACAATCTTTTCTGATGCTTCATTTTGACTACTGTTTCTTAATTAACATGCAAATTCCAGATGTTTATGTATCAAGGTTTTAGTGATTATGCCAGCAGCCCCAACAATCATTTCGTAATTTGAAAACTTTACTCCCTTTTTTAGCCCCAAAGCATCTGTTCTTACGTCAGCCCAAGATGGAGATTGGAGAAAATACTAGTGCCGTTTGGTTGAGCGCCGGCAACGGACACGTCCAGGCCACCCATTACCCACCTTATCCACCGAAGAAACTCCCGTCCTACAGGTAGATCAGCGGACCAACCATGAGTGATCCGCCCAGTCTCACTTCCAGAGCCATCAGAGCAGCACCTGAACGACCATGGCCTCGCCGCTGCTCAGGCCACAGTCTCACGTCGTCGCCGCCGCCGCCCTGCACTCCGTGAGGAGAGCCGATCGCCATGGCCGCTGCCCCGCGACAGTACACGTATCGTTCTCTTTCAAATTCCATGCATGTTCGGACTGTTTCCGGTTGCTTCAAGCTTCACTTTTATGCATGCTGTTTCTCTGCAGCAGCTCGGCAGGTTCCATGACCACGGGTGCAGCAGGTCCGGCCGTTCTAAGGTACAGTACATGACCTCTTGTCCTCCTGAAACGAAAAATATGTCCATGTTCACGAAAATTCGAGGCAAACCAATAGCTAGCGTTGCATAAAAAATGGCGTGCTTCGTGCTGACAGATGGTAAGGATGCGAAAGCATATGAATAAACAGAGTACTGTGTCACTGCTACTGCCCATATGCTTCTATGCAGGCCCTTTCTGAAATCTGAAGAAAACGACTAACCCAGTGCAATACTATGCTGTGTTACATTAGCGTTGCTACCATAGTACCCATGACCATGAGACCACATAAATCCAGTTAGTTGCATCGATAGATGGTTCAGTAATGTTCAGATGTATGGATGTTGCTGTGTTGCATGCGTTGCAGAGATCCGGTTCAGTGAAGGTGAGCGCCTTCCCGTCGCTGGACGTGGTGCCGCTGATGGTGACGATGGTGGAGCACGTGGACATGTCGCGGGACTACGTCGTGACCAAGTCCATCTGGCATCTCAGCGACGCAGCTCTCAAGAGCGTTTGTGAGTAGTCCTCCCACCGTCGTCTCGATCAGCACTTGAGCTCCTCCGCCCTGCTTTGATCTGAAACCACTGACCGTTAATTTTCCTCTCGATCGATCGCGCGCAGATACCTTCTACGCCATGTTCACGGTGTGGGGCGTCTGCTTCTTTGCGTCCATGAAGGCAAGCTAGCACGCATTACTAACATACACCATGCATGTGATTCCAATGTTCAAACCACCACCGAGCATTGGCCCTGTTCGTTTCGTTGAAATTTAGCTTATGCTGATTTATTGTAAGAGAAAAACGTTGTTCGATCGTTGAAAAGTACTGCTGGAGTAGTGCTGCATGACACATCTTTGCTTGTGTGTTAAATCAAAACAGGATCCCTTCTACGACAGCGACACGTACAGGAGCGCGGGTGGAGATGGAACCGTGCACTGGTACTACGATAGGGTAAGCACGCACCTTTGCACAGTGTCTGTTATGTGCCTTCCTTTTCTTTCTTAGGCCGGCTGCATGAAGAATCAAAGCAGTTAGCCTAGCCACAGATAACTGTACTGATCAATATCCTGTGCAATGTTCATTGGCATGCAGCAAGAGGACCTGGAGGCGTCTGCGAGGGAGGAGCTGCTGCGGGAGGAGCTGCTCGAGGAGATTGAACAGAGGGTTGGGGGCCTCAGAGAGCTGGAGGAAGTAGTCACAAAGTGATTATACGGGTGAATGGGATGGATATGGGCTACTAATCAGTTCTCCATCTGAACTTCATGAGCAAATAAGTTCAGACTTCTTTACTGTCCTGCTCAAACCTGTTCTGTATGACTGTATATGCCCCAAACGTACGCCTGGATGAACTGCAGTGCAATATTTTTTTTAATTATTAGTCAGGCAGGAGAGCTGCTGATTATACTAATAAAGAAGGGGCTCAGACTGGGCAACACATTTTAGTTCAGATAACGAAGGATTGGGTACGATTTCATATGGATCCCTTTCTGCTTTACAGTTCGGCCAAGATCGGAGTACAACTGTGCTGTGCAACAGATGAGTCCTGAAGAAAAAGATGAATTGCTAAGGCGTACATGGCAAACTAGAACTGTAGTTGTACAGCATCGATCGCCGCTCGGCAGTCGGCACAGACAGTTCAGAGGTGTTCATACATTACACATGCACCGTCTGGCGTCTACAGCCTGCAGGCCTCGCCGGCAGGCTACGCGTACGCAAGCAGCGGAGAGTCTTTAATAAAAAAAAGTCAAAAGTTGTGCGAAAGTCTTTAGTTAGCTTATTTTTTTTATTGAGCGTGCAGAGGAGCAGCTGACGAACGGGTTCTTGGACACGCCGGTGGAGTGCGCGCCGCCTGGGATGAGCAAGCACATGCGTCTCAAGGACTTCCCAAGCTTCATCCGCTCCACGGACCCCGACGAGTTCATGGTCCACTACGCCATTAGGGTGACGGGTCAGATAGCCGGCGCGGACGCCGTCGTCCTCAACACCTTCGACGAGCTCGAGCAGGACGCACTCGACGCCATGCGCGCCGTGATCCCACCTCCCGCGTCCATCAACAACATCGGCCCGCTCGCCCTCCTCGCCGAGCAGATCGTGCCCAGGGGCGGCCAGCTCGACTCGCTGGGCTCCAACCTTTGGAAGGAGGACGTCTCCTGCTTCCGCTGGCTCGACGGCAGGAAGCCCAGGTCCGTGGTGTTCGTGAACTACGGCAGCGTCACGGTGATGACCAACGCGGAGCTGGTGGAGTTCGCGTGGGGCCTGGCCAACAGCGTGGGGCCTGGTCAACAGCGGCCACGACTTCCTGTGGATCATCCGGCCGGACCTCGTGAGCGGCGACGCCGCCGTGCTGCCTCCGGAGTTCCAGGAGGCGATCAAAGGCGCGGCCTGCTGGCGAGCTGGTGCCCGCAGGACGCGGTGCTGCGTCACGAGGCGGTGGGCGTGTTCCTGACGCACTCTGGATGGAACTCGACGCTGGAGAGCCTCTGCGCCGGGGTGCCGATGCTGGGCTGGCCTTTCTTCGCGGAGCAGCAGACCAACTGCCGGTACAAGTGCACGGAGTGGGGCGTGCGCGTGGAGATCGGCCACGACGTGCGGCGGGAGGCCGTGGAGGAGAAGATACGGGAGGCCATGGGCGGGGAGAAAGGAAAGGAGATGCGTCGCCGCGCGGTGGAGTGGCGGGAGACCGCCGTGCCTGGAGAAGCTGGTGACGGACGTACTCCTCTCGGGTGGCAATGGCAAGAGTTGTTAATCCTCTTTGCTATTACCACTGCTCCATGTGCGTGCATACCCATGCCACGACGGCACGACCGTACCATTTGTTTTGGGATAAAGCTCAACTATAACATGCATCGTCTGAGGTTCTGAACCATCAAATGCACATGTGAGTGTGTACTCAAATAATGGTTGTACGTGTAGTTGTACTCTCTAGTATGTGATATGTATTATGCGCCCTCTTGTTGGCATTATTATTGTACTATTTGGGTCTGGTGTCGAATGGGCAGAATAACTATGTATGGAACAACCGTACAAGGTGGGTGGACAGGACCTAGGCCAAATGGACCTTATTCGCTCCAGTTTAAAACCATAGGCACAAAATAAACAAGTTGATCCTTGTATGTGACACCTATCATTGTTCATTGTATTCTAGGCGATTTATTTATTTGTATGATGGTTTTATATTACGTTCTAGTGTATTTTATACGTCTACCTTGCTATCTTTTTTCTGAAACCGTCAAACTTGATGTATTTTGACTGACACTTAGTCATACTACATGCAGTGTATTAAATTAACTATGCAATCATATGTCAAAGTCATAATACCTTTTCAAAATCACCCATCGTACACTTTGGTTTGTATTGTCTTGAGCTCTATCTCTTATGTATGGTTTTCTCATGTGACGGAGATCCGAACTCATTGTAATTGTAGTATAATCTTAATGGTGGTGTGATGCATTAATATATCAAATGTAAAATATTTGACAAAAACCTATATTTAATTTAATAATAAAATATATCAACAAAAAATAAGAAATACGTAGGTCACTGCTAGGTTCAAGCAACTAATCCCGCAATGAGGATCGTACTATCACTTCCGAATAGAGGATTAACCTAGCAGTGAGCATCATCCTATCGCTGCAAGTCTTGGAACCGGCAGTGATAAGGAAGTCCTTCATTGCCAATTACTCTCTATCGGGTCCAATTCCGACAGTGATGCCAGGTTTGAACCTGACAGTGATCCATGGACATGGACTAGACAATGGACATGGACTAGTGAGACTAGTATAAATTCATTTTAACGTGAACAAGTAAATGTGTTTTAGTAGGTGATAGCTTTCATACGTACATGTTGATAGTAAGGTTTGCTTTTATTATATTATAAGAGTATATAGATATATAGACCAAACTAAAGCATACACAAGGATGATAGGTCCGATCCACGTTGAAGTCCACTTCTCTTTTATTTTTGAGTGGGTAGATGTCCACCTCTTTCTGTGCTATGGAAATCAAATCAACGTGTTCATGCCATGGTTATATCCATCACGAAAAGCTATTGAATTGCTCCAGTCTTTTCTCTCTTTTTTCTAAACCATTAGCTGATCTTCTTGATTTTATTTGCATCCACAATGTGGATTAACTATTAAATCATCTATTAAAGATACATTAATCACTAGGGAAACCCTTCTGTGGCTTCTAAAAAAGATTGTGATCAGTGGAAGGATGGTTAAATGAAGTACCACCGATCATGGCGACATGCATACTGTCAACATGGCTGCAAAGCTATATTTGCTGTTCCATTGGGTGCTTCAAACTTACAGAACTTCCATGCAAAGACCAGACCAATGGTGTGCGTTTTTACAGCAAAAAGTAACGCGCGCGAGTCAGTACGGCATTGGTGTGGTGATGGGTTGGAAAAGCAGCAGGAGTAGAATCTATCTGTCACTGTAGCTCGGCGTTAATCAGATGCTGACTCGCGTGGCCACAAGTGAGTCCGACAGGCGCACGCGAGGCCGACTTTGTTTCCTTCTCACAGAATGCTAATAATCTATCTAACTGGTGGCTGTATGTTATGATCATATATCATATATATTGCATAATTATGGATATGTTAGGATACATAGGACTAATTATTGTAAGCTAACTACTCCCTCCATCCCAAATTGTAAGTCATTCCAAGAATCTTGGAAAGTCAAACTTTTTCAAGTTTAACTAAAATTATAGAGAGAAACACAAAGATTGATGACATCAAATAGGTATAATATGAAAATATAACTAATGAAGAATCTAATGATACTTACTTGGTATGATAAATATTATTATTTTGTTATATAAATTTGGTCAAACTTGAAAAACTTTGACTCTCCAAGATTCTTGGAATGACTTACAATTTGGGATGGAGGGAGTAATATTTAGCCCGAGCTCATCCAAACAGAGAGCTAATAGATGATCTAATTTATTAGTCAAGCCTACAACTAGTTGTCAGTCAACTAGCTAAGCTAATTTGAGTACATTTTTAGCCTAGACACACCTATATCTCACTTTTAGAGCTTGTGCCAACTTGCTAATGGACTTATACATTCGATAAGAGAAACTAGTTCAAATTCAACATGGCAAACAAATTTTACAGTGAAAACGGATTCTCTCATCTGCAGCAAGAAAGAGAAACAAACAAGCAAATTGGTGGGGTCTATAACATTATCACTTTTTCAGGATACATTAGCTGCTAATAGTTAGCTAGCTCATACCTCATAACTAATATTAGTTGCTATTAGGTGGTTTGGCCTAATTATGAGATATGTAGTTCTTAGGTTGGATATTAGCTAACAATCAGCCTGTTCGTTGGTCGGTTTCTGGGCTGATAAACCCGGTTGGTGCTGGTTTGCTGTGAGAGAAAAATATTGTACCATGGCTGATAAGCTCTGACTGAAACTAACAAACGAACATGCTGAATTAGGTAGACTATTAGCTGAAACCGTTTGGAACCAAATAAGCTAATTATTTGCAACTAAGGCCTTGTTTGGATCACATGGTCTAAAGTTGCTATTGAGGCTCCAAACATGAGGTCTAAAGTGTTCTCTAAAATTTAGACCACCTCACAAAACATTAGACCACATAAATGAGCTAAAGTGGTCTAAAGTTTTAGTCCTTGATTTTAGCCACTAAATTTCAGACTAGATAATCCAAACAGGCCCTAACTATTAGTTGTATGGATCAATTCAGCATGCAACTAAATAATATCATAATCATAAAACAGAAAAAGGCTGGAATCGTTTATTTTTGTCGTCGGTCATTTGCCTTGGCTTGATAAGACCACACGTAGATTACAGACAGATCAATCACGTCAAATTTTGCACGAGCGTTCATTCTAGCAATTTCATGTCTTTTTCAATACATGATTCAAAATGTTAGTGAGCTGTATTTTTCCTATATTTAGAATACCGCGTCCCACAGAGGCCGTATATGATATACCATACATAGACACACGCTGTCACCAGGGATAATAACACTAACAAGTTGCACGAGCGAGAGCAACGTTGATCGCTCCGCCGTCCCCATCGCATCTGGGGAAAAAATAAATCATACAGTATGCATACTGCTACAGCGCGAGATCAGTGCTGCAGATTTTTACTCGCGGCCAGACCCACGCAGATGCAGGCAATTGCGCTAGCTAAATGCCGAGCGAAAATATGTGGAACATGTGGATTGGCCCCTACCAAGTCTGCTGTTAAGAATATTCTAATATTCCTAATAATCAATTAGTGGGTAATTAGCAACTGCTAATTGCAGTTACCGTGACCACTGAAAGGCGTCGAACAGACAGGACGTGGGAGCGGGGCTCTCCCACGTTCACTGGAACTGCCCCATCGTGGGCATGTATATATCTATGTACTGTTCATCAATAAAGTTTACACCTTCACTTTTACTGTTCCTCTCTACTTTCTACTGTTCATAATACAATACTACAACACGTTACGCTCCGACTCTTCTCCAGGGAGGCCGGCGAGATCGTAGATCCGGCCCTGCAGGCTCTGCCTCCACCACCTCCGTCCACTCCTCCAGCAGTGAACATCGCTGACCAGGCGGTGAGCCCGACCATGCGTCGGACCTGGATCTCCGTGCCGCATGGCCCGTCCGCACGCGCGCAGGCGAGTCCTCGCGCGAACGGACGCGTCCCGGCGCTGGAGAACGGGCACGCCAGTCCACGCGCGAACGGCGGTGGTGGCGCTTCCTCCTCCTCGGGGGGGCGCGCCCCTCCTTCCGCTTGAACTTCTACCGGAGGGGGAGGGGGAGCCGCTGGCCTCTGTCTTGGTCGCCATCGACTGAGTTGGGGCCGACGTGCGGTCTCCTCCCCGATCTGCGCCGGCGCTCGTCACCGGCTGCAGAGGGCGCGACGGAGGGAGAGGAGGGCGCGGAAGACAGCGGCGGTCCATATGGTGACGACGTGGCTCCTGGGCGCTGCGACGGCGTGGCACTGCGGCATCAGCGCGCGCGTACGCTGCGGACCAGAGCGGCTACCGGCGCCCCAGGTTGCGGCCTGCCCCAGTCTGCGTCGAGCAACGGGCGAGTCCAGGCGGCCATGCCACGAGGCCCTGATTTTATGTGCCGTGTGGACCATAAGATCCACCATGATCGCCAGGACAGCTGCCCACTATATTATTAAAAAAACGCAAAAACAGACATGACTAGTGCCGGACGCCCACCAGCTTGTCCTTGCACCATGCATCCAATTATCCAACAAAACCAACTCCAACCACGGTTGCCAGGTTCTTACATAATCTGCGCCCCCATGCAGTAGCGGATCAGATGCAATCTGCAGCTCCGTTTAATGATTCAGGAAGAACCAGACCCACGTCAGGCCCGAATGCATCGGCGCATCACCATCCACAACTAAATTGATGCAAGGCCCACGACCACGACAAATGCCCTCCCCCAAAGTCTGACACCACCAAACAGTTTATGCATCTTGGAGACGGCATTAAAGACAAAGGACCACGCTATGTCGCTATTGTGTATATTATCACGTCAATTGTGCGCCGCGACCATACAGTACATGACTTCAGAGCCAGGGAATCGTGTCACGATATCTGCATGCATCGATCACTGACGACGGTGGACACATAATATACATTTTTTTTACTACAAGCAGCAACACAAAGAATTGAGCAACGGCTTTGTCAAGATCTGTGTGAACCAACAACTCACATTAACTACAGCTGCCATGCCCCTCCCGAGAAATTTGCATCCTTTCTCATTTCAAGCATGCCTTACCTCCGTTTTCATTTCAGGGATGATTTGTGGAGGTTGTGCCACAAGAACACAGAAACATTTGATTTGATTGTACCTAAGTTCGTTTAGAGAGTACGAAT